AACTTGTTGGTGTTTTGACTACCTCTCACACAGACGTAAAAATTATGGCAGATTTTTAAAAGATTTTCAACTTAACCTATAAAGAAATGCAAGTTAGCTTGGATTCTGATCTCGCACTGATCTAACATAGCTTTTCACTTCATTATTTTTGCTTCTAGTTCTTAAGAACCTGACTCGTACATTCCTGCTACCAATGCAAAATACTCATTTAATCCGAGATATGATTTTAATGAGGCATTACCTACCACACCCTCCAGAAGGAGGTGTAAGTAGAAAAGGTTAGGAATTGCCTCAAGCAAATGCAAAAACAAAGAAGGATATACATATTATAAAGTTACAACAGATGGCTTCATTGGTCATTAATGCGAAAGAAGAACAATTCATCTGAATGATTTTGATCTTCCATCTCACAATTCTAACAAAAAAAGAGCCTATCCATTCCTTCCGCTTACCTAACAGGAGAGGCAACATTCTGATTTGAATACAACACACTGGATTTCCTCAACAAGGACATATTGGATGGTAATATGTCCTATGTCCTTTTTTCCTTTTTTATTTAAACCTCCTTCTGGAGGGTGTGGTAGGTAATGTATCATTAAAATCGTATCTCGGATTAAGGCTTTCAGTGCCTTGGGACGTTCCCCCCGGCGTGAAAGGCGCTATACAAATATAATCTTGTTGTTGTTGTTGTTGGTAATACCTTCCTATTTCATTTATAAATCTACTCTAGGTTCTCATAGTTCTACAAAAAAAATTTTTTTAAAAATCAGAGTGCCAGTAAATAGGGTTGAGGGTGTGGATGGGGTGGAAGAAAGTAGATGTGATTCATACATTTTCCTTCAAAAATACATCAGCATTTTGAAACCAACCACACCAAAAGTGCTGAGCCAAAGCTAAGTCACAAGTTGTTCTTTCTAAACTGATCGTCAAAACAACATGGTAGAAACATTCATGCTGAACATTAGGCCAGTGACCCTATGGTGGATTGTGAAATTCTAAATTTATGATTCCACCAGCTCCCCTCTCCCACATTCAAATACCCAAGGCTACCTTAGAGCTCTAACCCCACTTGTAGTTCATTTATAGCAGGAGATAGATTATTTTTTTCCACTTATCATTGGTTTCAGGTTCTAAAGAACATCTGTGTCCAACAGAAAGGTCATCAGGGTGCTGGGAAATGTATTTTGGAGATGTCATCTTTCAGATGAGACATCAAACTGAGGTCCTGATTGCCTGTTCAGGTGGGTGTCAAATATCACATGGCATTATTCGAAAAGCAAAGGGAGTTTCTCCAAGTGTCCTGTTTGTGAGACATTTCTGTGCATTAATTTACCTAAATATACACCAACACTACACTTAACAGTAAATCATGTGAAGCGCTGTAAGACATCCTCCCAGTGTGAATCATGTCAATCATATGAAATTCACTATATCAAATGCAAGTTAACTAAATGATTATTATTAACAACTTTAACACCTGAAGTAAGTTGATCTTGTTTTCTGTACCAAATTCTTAATTTTTGTGCAAAATTCCAGATGTAATTTCAGCCTGAACATATATGTAACATGGATATCACAAAGTTTAACCTGGGTATTAGACTGAAGCCATTTTGCTACTAAATCCACCAGATAGGAGTAAGTGGACTATTACTGGTTACTCCCCTCATGTAAGTATGATTAGTTGAGTAATCAGCCAAGCCTAGCCAGCACACATATACGCCTAAAACTCCTTTTTATACCTAAGACTCTTTAAAAGTTTTAAACTGTCTTGATAAATTGAATTTTTAAATAAATGGTTTATCTACATAGTTTAATTGAAAAGTATATTGTAATTTTATGCATTTAATAATTCACAGACCATAGAAAAAAACCATAAATGATCCTTTCTACAATTTACAAGGTGTATTATCATTAATAACAAACGAAGCTATCAGTGAAGGACAAAAGTGAATGTCATGTGAAACTGTGACAATGCTGGAAGCTGATAAGATCATTGCCTTTGGATTACAGCAGTGGGAAGTGATGTGTATCGTGCTCAGAATAACTTTAAATAGAAGAAATCCAATTTTAAAAATCACAGTTTTAAATTAAAAGACCCGAATGTAAAAGCAATTACCCCTTTCTCAAGGAAAACTGACCACAAGAGGGTGCCAAAGATACACAGTACTGTGTGTACATTTTAGCATGGATATAAGAACGGGAATCCAGCCAGGAATGAATGTACTCCAGTTAAAGGCACTGGTTAATCAAGCGCTCTGGGACGTTACCCTGCGTGAAGAGCGCTGTATGAATTCAAATTGTTGTTGTAATCATGTATGTTTTTGGAATACCAGCTCTATTATATCTCATCATGGCCAATCCCAGCACACTGTTGTAGAGTGATTAAGTCTTAAATTTCTTTCAAAAATAAATTTTTAAAAAGTTAATTGCTTTAAAAAACAAATACTTGGGCCATATGGCCTGTTTCCGTGCAATGTTCCTATATAAATAGAGTTGTTACAAGATTGAAACAATAAGAGTTTTGAGGCAAGTCTCAGACACCCAGCTGACCGAAAAAAAAGGCAGTACAAGTTACATGATTTGAGGCTAGAGGTTAAAAACAATTATAATAACTTATTGCCTTTTCAGCAGGTAGTGGCACTTTCATTGGCAAACTCTTAGCCAAGATGAAAGGCAGGGTTCACTATACCCAAATGGATCACAGTGGTATTACTCATGTGAAACAAATGAGCAAGACAAAGAGACTTCAAATGCCAGAAACCTGAAATTAAAAAGGGGGAAATACAAAGCAGCTCGATCTGCATCTGAAAGAATGGAACTGCCGCGGAAAAAGATTGGCTGACAAAGCCCTTTATAGGATTGACTAGGGCAAGTGGGGCAAGACGAGACCAAGAAAGCACACACTATAGGCAAAAACAGGGTAGCTAATGGGTTATTAACAGACATTACTGGAATGAGAGGAAGTACGAGATACAGAGAAACTCTCAGGCACAAGTCAGGTATTCAAGCACTAGTAAAACAAAGGCACAATAACAACAAATTACATTTGTATAGCGCTTTTCACGTCAGGAGGACGTCCCAAAGCGCTGGACAGTCAGGGATCCGCAACTAAGCTGGTGGTTGGGATTAGGAGGGGTGGAGAGCGGTGAGGGTAGGCGTAGTATCAAAAAGGGAAACGCGATGTCTAAAAGCTGTCTATGAAAATGACATAGAAAATGACATAAACTAGAGTTTAGGTTAGCAAAATGAGTGACACAGATAAGATCTGAAGCTCAATCAGACAAAGTGCCCAAGAGGACGATGAGATACATTTTCTGAAGGAGCATTGATATTGTTGGAGCAGCACACAAGACAAAACAAAGAAAGGGAAAAATCAGAGGGAGCATTGAAGAGAAGAGAGTGAGCAGTAAATAGAGTCCAAGAGGACTTCTATGGAAGTACTGTCTCACACAAAAAAGCCCTCAACCGATCAAGCGCTTAATTATGAATAACCACTGCAACCTGTGTGGAATCACCACAAAGCATCTTGTCTGATGTCACGTAAATAGTTGGATCGTTATCGCTGATCTACATTATTCATCAATTCTGTATTTTTTTCACTAAAAAAAGCAGAGTCACGAACAGAGATAAGGGGAGGAAAAGGCATTGTTGCATTTACAAGGGGAATTCACCTGGGAAACAGAGTTGAAGGAGTGAATGAGGGATTGATTCCTCTGGAGAACAGGGAGAAGAATCAACAACAACAACAACAAAATTACATTTGTATAGCGTCTTTTACGTCGGGAGGAATCATGTGGAGATGGCATCAGGTTAAGGGGGGGTAGTGCAGGATCCGGTGAGATAAAGGGGTGATCAACACTAACACATTGATTACTTTTTTATGGGGGGAGGGGTGGGGGGCGGGGGCGGGAGACAAGAAGCGAGGCAGAGGAAATGGGATAGAAGAAGATTAACCATAATAAATCCCACCACAGAATCAATTTCAGAAGTTTTGGCCGGGGAATTGGAGTAACCAAAGTGTAATGGGGAAAGTGAGACAAATGCTAATCTAAGTCCATGTGGGAGTTTGTGGGTGGCCTCTGTTCTCCTGCAGCGTATAGTCTCTCCACATTATGTAAAATATATCCTGCAAAACGCTTTGGGACGTCCGCCAGATGTGAAAGGCACTGCAGCAAATGTAAAGATTATTTATATTACTAATAAAATTATTTAATCCGATCACATTTCATGATGTGTCAGTGAGAGATCAGACAAGGCTTCACATCCTGCTCTTAAAGTTGCTTCAGTTTCACCAAAAAACACGAACTAATCTTTTAGGAATTGATTCATCTGCCTTATCTGAATGATAACCTCATTCATCTTCATGACACTGCAACAGGAAGATGGGAGTTCCAACAGTTTGGGTTGACTTTTTGCATTGTTTGCAGCTCTGGTGTACAGAAACCTTTCCTCACACTAATTCACACAACTTCTCCATTGATCCCGTCACAGAATGGAATAGTTTGTAGTGGGAAAAGATGGGGGAAATGCAAATCTATGGCTAGTCGGTGTGCAAGTTGGTGGCTGACTCCTGTTCTGGTACAAAGTGCACAGTCACTTTGTACCAGAAAAAAAATTCCTTTTTTTTTCAAAGTGCTTCAGCTCCTGTCCAAGTCAGTTGAAATGGGAACACATTATGAGAATGGGGCAGAAGGAAACTGCTTTAACACTGAACACACCATCCAGGTCAGTGCAGAAAAGGGCAAAGCTAAGTGTAGGATCAGGGTCTCAGGTAACTGGGGACAGAGTCAGCCCCTCACCCCTGGCAGTTGGGCAACAGGGCAAACAGTTGCACAAGCCACACAGGTACTGGGGGAAATGCACTTCAAGGCTTCAAAGAAAAAAAACAGACGGTTCTGCAATAAATATTCCGATCTGCAAAGCAAACTGTTAATACTTCCGTCCTTTACCTAAAGGTTACATGGTTTGCAATGTTGTTTTCAAACATGCACAGCACTCACCAGCAACATCAGGACACATCCCACTGAAGCCACACTAACACCTGAGATCCTCATCTTCCTTCCCTCTGTCACTCTCTTTCCTTTGAGGGAAATCGTACCGACTCTTCGTTAAAGTGCCTGAACTGAGACAATTCCCAATGGTTTCTGACTAATGTACTGGCTCTGCCTCTCCAGCCTGACCCGCCCACTCTTAAACAGGCAACATCCCAAGCTCCAGCAGGACCTGGTTACACCTGCAGTAAACTCACTGCAACTTTGCAAAGGCTTCTTCGGGAATAGTTCGTCAGGCTCCTGGGAGCACTGAAACCAAACAGAAATTAAACTGGACAACAGGATAATTTAACCATATTGGCCGGACGTTTGTCTTGCTTGCGAAAAAGATTGAGAGATATAATAATAATAATAATAATAATCCTTGCATTTGATGGGAGGACGTCCCAAAGCGCTTCACAGAACACACTGTAAAGTGAATTGACTGTATATTTGTGGGCGAACGCGGCAGCCAATTGCGCACAGCAATGTCCCACAAACAGTCGTAGATTGAAAATGACCAATTTATTATTGTTTTTGGTTTTTGGAGGGATTATTATAGAGTAGAATGACCCATTTACTGATATCGCTGTGGAACCATTACCATATCATCTGTCTATTCCTCAGACTCACCGAACCAGTGTGCAACCTGGGCGTCAGGTTAGACCCACAGCTGTCCTTCCTTCCCCTCATCCGGTCCCTGACCAGGATCACCTTCGTCCACCTCCGCCATATTGCCCGCCTCCGACTGTACCTTACCCCAGACAGAGTCAAAACCCTGGTGCATGCATTCGTCACCTCCCGACTCGAACTTTCAAAATGTCCTCTTCGCCAATCTCCCCAGCTCCACCATACACAGGACCCAGCTGATCCAAACCTCTGCCGCCCGCATACTCACCGTTAAACTCCCCTATCACACCAGTTCTAGCCATAACATTTTCCAGGAGATGCAATGGGGAAGATGGGGACCACAGTAGGAATATCTGGAAGGAATAAGCTTCATAGGCTAACCTACCTTTACTCATTCTATATTTTCTTGTGTTCTTTAAGATGATTCTAATATTCATATCTTTTGTAATATAAATTCTGTGATCTTTCTCTCATTATTATTATTATAGTTATTTTATTTTATTTGTGTTGATAGATTACTTCTTTTGTCAGTGAAGGCAGAACACAGTAACAATCTAAATATCATAGAGACAATCTTAATATCTCTATATGATATGTACTCTCAGAGAGTTGGAAATTCATTACTGGAGGGTACTTCTGATTGAAGAATGAAGATCCTTTATGAGATGACATATCTAATTTTCGTCTTCATTCCAACACCATTTGTGTAGAAACACAATTTACATTTATATAGCGCCTTTCACGTCAGGAAGATATCTTGAAATGCTGGCTGGACACAGGTGCTAGTGGGAGCCGAGGAGGTGTGGGGAAGGGAAAGATGACCAAAAACAGTCAAAGAGGGACGTTCTTCAGAACAACAACAACAAAATTACATTTGTATAGCACCTTTCACATCAGGAGGACGTCCCAAGCCACTGGACAGACAGAGTTATGGACCCGAGCTGAGGGTCGGGGTCAGGGAGGTTGTAGCGCATGGGGGAAAGCAGGGGAGATCAAAAGCACGGTCGAAGAGGAGGGTCTTGAGGTGGGTCTCGAAGGTGATGAGGTAGGGGGTGAGATGGAGGGACTGCGGGATGGTGTTCCAAAGGATGGGTGCAGTGTGGGGGAAGGCTCACCCACCAATAGTGGAGCAAGCAAAGTGGGGGATGTGAAGCAGGTTGGAGCCCTCTGAGCAGAGGGAGTGAACAGAGTGGTAAGGGGTTAGGACGTCACAGAGGTAGGGGGGAGCAAGACCCTGGAGGGCTTTGAAGATGAGGACCAGGATCTTGAACTGCATCCTATGGGAAGCCAGTGGAGTTGGGTGATAGGGTCGCGGAGACTAGTGCGGAAGAAGACACGGGCTGCAAAGTTCTGGATGATCTGCAGCCTGTGGAGGGAGGAGTTGGGGAGGCCAACAAGCAGTGAGATGCATAGTTGAGCCTCGATGTAATGAAGGCGTGTATGAGGATTTCGGCGGCCTGTGGTGTGAGCCGGGCGATGTTGCTGAGGTGGCAGAAGGCAGAGCAGGTCATGGCGCAGATGCGGGATAGAAAGAATAGTTGAAGGTTGAACAAGATGCCAAGGTTCTGGACTGGCTTAGCAAGGTGGAGTGTGCAACCAAGGATGGTGATGCTATCAGCGCCTGAGGTGAGGAGGCGCTGATGAGAGCCAATCAGGAGAGCCTCGGTCTTGTTGACGTTCAACTGAAGAAAGTTAGCTCTCATCCAGGACTTGATGTCCGACAGACATTCTGTCAGCACAGCAGTGGTCCTGGATTCAAGGGTGGAGGCAGAGAGGTACACTTGGGGGTGTTTCGCATACACATGGAAATTGACCCCATGTCTGCGGATAATGTCACCAAGACGGAGCATATAGATATTGAAGAGGAGGGGACCAAGGACAGAGCCCTGAGGGACGCCGCAGAAAACGGTCCGGGGGCTAGAGGAGAAACCGTTTGAGGAGATGAAGTGCAGGTGGTGTGAGAGGTACGATCTGAACCAATCAAGAACAACGCCGTGGAGGTTGAGGTGAGAGGAGAGGCGGTGGATGAGGATAGAGTGGTCAATGGTGTCGAAAGCAGCAGAGAGTTCAAGGAGGATGAGGAGGCAGAGGGAGCCCTGGTCGTAAATGAACAGAAAGTCATTTGTCACTTTGACCAGAGCAGTTTCTGTGCTGTTGGCGGCACGGAAGCCCATTTGGAAGGGTTCAAAAAGGGAGTGGCGGGAGAGGAAGGAGCAAAGCTGAGAAGCAACAACTCATTCCAGGACCTTGGAGAGGAAGGGGAGGTTGAAGATGGGGCGGTAGTTAGGGAGTAGAGAAGGGTCCAGGGTGTTTTTTAAGGATAGGAGTGATCAGTACCAGAGGACAGGGAGAGGTTAACAATGTCAATGAGTAGAGGGGCAAGAAGGTGGAGCTGGGAGGTAAGGAGGGGGATTGGGATGGGGTCGAGGCAGCAGGTTGTGGGTTTCATATGGGTTATGGTGGTGATGAGAGAGGAGGGGGAAACAGGTTAAAAGGTGTAGAGGGAGGGGTGGGTAGGGGCTAGGGTGGGAGGAGATGGGGAAGAGGTAGCAGTTGCAGGGACAGCGGAGAGTATTCCCTTGACTTTGGATTCAAGGAAGTCCAGCATCGCCTCGCAGTTGGCATTTGAGGTGAGGAAGGGTGAGGTGTGAAAGGGTGGGTGGAGGAACCAGTTCATGATGGAGAAGAGGAGTCTGGGGTTGTCTTTAGCTTCCAAGATTGTCTTCGAGTAGAACGACGATTTAGCACTTTACTGTAAAGTAAATTGTCTGTATATTTGTGGGCGAAACACGACAGCCAATTGCGCAAGGTAGTGTCCCACAAACAGTCGTGGATTGAGTGACCAAATTATTATTGTTTTTTTCTTGAGGGATTATTATCCCCGGAAAAGCGATCTGCCAATTGACTAACAGCCGGATTCCTACTTACTGCTAGGTAAACGGAGGTTTGTGGAGTTAGGAAACTTGCCAACATTTTGCCCTGCCGGGAATAAAACCCAGGTCTCTCGCTTGCGAGGCGAGCGCTCTAACCACTGAGCTACAGACTCCATATAGTGTGAAAATAGTGAAGATCCCAGAAAATAAATCTGTACAGCACTGACTGTGGAAAACACGGTAATCTAATGCATTATAACTGTATGAGTCTCAGTTATGTAGGAAGATTTACTCTCCCGGTTATGATGGTTGGATCATCCATTAAAAAATGTAGGCAATATATTTGGCCATTTTTAAGAACCAAACTAATTTTGGATGCAATTTTTTATCCCAAATGTGACTCATTAAAGCCATAAATGCTGATTAGTTGATATTCTTAGCACTGCAAATCTCTTTGAATTGAAGTTCAGCTTTGAACAGCATAAAGTAGGAGCAGACAATATAAAAGCAACACACTTATCTCTCTTCTCTCAATAAAAGAAAACTGGTTAATTACTAACTGCAACTGCAAATACAAGGATTATGATTATTTCTTTATTAATAATAATATTGTCTTATCATAATGCATACCAACAGTGGTCCTTCTAGCTACAGATCCTTTCTATATATTTAGATTTTGTTCCCATATTAAATAAATGGAAATATTTGAAAGGGTCTCATCATGCACTTTATACTCCCAAAAGTATAAGCATAATCATTTGTCAAATTTTAGACATTGCTGGTCGCAAATTGACTGCTGCATTGGCCTACAAAATACTGTCACTGCACTTCACAGTAAAATGTTGTGAATATATTTGAGGCATTTTGCCAATGTGATAAGGCACTATATAATAATAATAATAATCCTTGCATTTGATATAGCGCTTTTCACGTCGGGAGGACGTCCCAAAGCGCTTCACAGAACACACTGTAAAGTGAATTGACCGTATATTTGTGGGCGAAACACGACAGCCAATTGCGCAAGGTAGTGTCCCACAAACAGTCGTGGATTGAGTGACCAAATTATTATTGTTTTTTTCTTGAGGGATTATTATCCCCGGAAAAGCGATCTGCCAATTGACTAACAGCCGGATTCCTACTTACTGCTAGGTAAACGGAGGTTTGTGGAGTTAGGAAACTTGCCAACATTTTGCCCTGCCGGGAATAAAACCCAGGTCTCTCGCTTGCGAGGCGAGCGCTCTAACCACTGAGCTACAGACTCCATATAGTGTGAAAATAGTGAAGATCCCAGAAAATAAATCTGTACAGCACTGACTGTGGAAAACACGGTAATCTAATGCATTATAACTGTATGAGTCTCAGTTATGTAGGAAGATTTACTCTCCCGGTTATGATGGTTGGATCATCCATTAAAAAATGTAGGCAATATATTTGGCCATTTTTAAGAACCAAACTAATTTTGGATGCAATTTTTTATCCCAAATGTGACTCATTAAAGCCATAAATGCTGATTAGTTGATATTCTTAGCACTGCAAATCTCTTTGAATTGAAGTTCAGCTTTGAACAGCATAAAGTAGGAGCAGACAATATAAAAGCAACACACTTATCTCTCTTCTCTCAATAAAAGAAAACTGGTTAATTACT